TGGGAACTCCCTTGGATTATAAGGGTGAAGGGCCACCCTACCTATCATCAATTGGTTTTAGGTTACAAGTCTGGATCTCTTCTTAATATGGTATCAAAGCCCTAGGTCTCAAGTTCGAGTCTCACCGAAAATAAATTAAACTTTTAAGTGAGACAGTCATTTAGTTCATCTAACATGATGTCAAAGCCATGATGTCCGTGCTGAATATATTGATGTTAATGGTTAGTCGCCATCAACGAAGTGTAAATTGATCAACGAAGTTTGCCATAATATAAGCCACAAGGTGTGAGTTGAAGCGTTCAACATCCTCATTCCACCCGCCTAGTGAATGACAACTCGGGAAAGCGGTATGCCGGATTTTGATGTACTTCAAGTGATGGAATTGTGCAGTTTGTATGTTGAGGTATTCAACTCCATTTACATCCCAAGCGCTTTGAATGAAATATTCAGTATTCATCTTTCAATTGTACCAAGGTGTTCTATGCTCCACAGTTATCAATGTCTCTAAATTTGGACAATTTTCAAGCATATGTACAATACCGGACAACTCGTATTTGAAGAAATATGTCAAAAAGGACATGTTCTTGCAATTCATGAACGATGGACATGTAATAATCTCAATATTGATTAGATCCAAGCTTTCCAGAACAGAACATCCCTGGAGTAAATGGACAAGATCTTGAGCGAAGTCCAACTTATGGAGTCGCCCCAATTTGAAATATACGTATATCCCTAAATATACAACTCCTCAAGCGCTAAGTTACGATAGAAACATGTAAGGTAATAGTACTCGATCTCTCTCAATCCATCGAAACAACTTTAAGTTAAGCGAACGAGCCCATAAAAGGCAAAAATCATCATGATCCACATCATATAGGGAAAGATGGTCGGTCCTAATGCTGAACGTGAATTTCTTAATATTAGGGCGACTGAGTTTGAACAAAGAATCAATGACCTGATCTAAGCGATTTTTCAAACGGAAACATATGGAGCTAAATTGGTGATCCCCACCGCCTCCGTCCGCCGAATAACCAGAGATCATTTCCGAGGGACATTTAATAAGAACTTCATCGACATCCTTTCAAAATTTCTCCATCTCGTAGAGAGCGCACAAGTTCGAACGGCGTAGTCCGACGACAATGCTCAATGATCTCAAACAACACATAATCTGGAAGCTCACTCAATCTATCTGGCTCTAGGTCATCGAATTTCCTCGTTATCCTCTTCGTTATGGGGGACGGACCGCTACTTTGATGGTTGTCCATTGCTGCAAGTAGATTTTCGTATCCACGAAGTTTGGGGTAAAAGAGAGAACACATGGAGGGAGGAGATATAAATATAAATATTAATTCTCTCTATTCAAAACCTTAGCTGCCGCCGCCGGCCGCTATTTACCTCCAACCACCGCGCTCCGGTCGACACAGCCCCCACCATCGGAACCGTTACATCATTGCCGGCCGACCACCGAAGTTTCGTTGCCAACAGCCGCACGTTCTGGCCTCACACACCAACAACGTGAATCGCGGCAAGAAGGGCTTTTCCGCCGCCTCCCTTCCGGCCTTGCGTGCGGGCGTGTCCAACCACCGTCTCCTGCTTTGATTTCCTACGTAGTGGTGTGGTTGGTTTTGTCATCGGAATTAATTTTAATTTCGTGTTGTTATCGGGATGGCTCCCTCAGTCCAGAATATCGTGATTCTCTCGCATTGAGTTCTTGCTTCCAATTTCTCTTTTGTCATTGACAATTTGTGGTATTTTTATTCCGGTTGCTGCCATCATATAACACCTACACTTTGGCCTATTGACCAATGCGCATCATGTGTCATCTTCATTGCCTATACATACTGCTAATGAGAGTCGCATGGATATCACTCATTCAAGATCTATATTTTTACCATTTATATCACTTCTTGATACTTACTGTATTCCTCAATTGATTTTAAATCTTGTATTAGTTGGCCAACTAGTTGAGCAGAGATTTACTATTACTTTTTCTTGTTCTGGTGTGCAAATTCAGAATCCACGTATGAGTCAAATTTTTGGGACAGATTGAAAAGTCGGTCAATTATTTAAGGTATAATATATTCTATGAAAATTCTTTCCCGTAATTTCTCTGCTGCTACTACTCATACCCCTCTTACTACTCATCCTTCCCTTAGTCTCCAGTAGCATATTTGTCTTGGTCATCCGTTTTCTTTTAAAATTCACTCTCTCGTTAGTAAGGGTTATTTGGTATCTACTCATTTTGAGTCATTTGATTGCTTAAACTGTCATTTGGAAAAACAACCAACCTTATCTTTTTCAGAAAATATGTCAGTCGCAAGTAAACGTTTTCCTTGGTTCATTCTGATATTTGGAGTCCTTCCCATGTTCCCTCTATGAGTGATTATTGTTATTATGTCATTTTCATAGATGATTACTCCCGTTTTACATGGTATCAGAGTCATGGTGCACGTAATGGGTATTGATCCTGTTTGGATTTTCGAGATTATCATTTCAAAGAAAAAATATTGAATATTTTCCCAGATTGGAAGAAATGTGAGAACTCCCTTGGCTTATAAAGATTAAAAAACACTCCACCTATCACAAATTAATTTTAACTTGGAAGTTGAGATCCGTTTCTTAACAGTAACTAAGATTCACCTGGCTTATATTAAAGTTAGTATTGGATGGTTAATATTGAACACTTATCTTGTCCATTAATTATGATACTTTGTTAAGAGACATATTTTAATTAAATTTATGTTACAATATGTAATATATTTTTTTACTTTCTTAGTTACTAGAAATTTTGACAATTAACAGTGTTTATTTTTTGTATCGTGTTTTTTAAGTAAAATACTTATAACATTTAATACAAAAAACTCGTGACATTTTTATAAAAGTCGTGAAATTGCATAACATAACTTTTTTTTTTTAAAAAAAAAAAAAATCTAAAAACGAACACAACCTATATTATTTGTTTAGAAACTAAGGTATGTTTATATGTATATATTAAAACTTTTGAATTTATCAATATATATATATATTTTTTTTTTAAAAAATATTATATCAAATACAATTTTCTTCTCGTAAAATATTGTAACTAATTAACTAATTTTTTGCTATTTTTAATTGTTTCTAGAATTTGAAAACTTCTTTCATTTAAATTAAACTTATTGTGGAACGAAACATATTTGCAACATTATAAAATTAAATGATAAAATAAATAAAAAATACAAGTAAACAAATAGAACCAACAATATTAAAATCAATGATCTCAAAACATCATATAATAATAATAATAATAATAATAATAATAATAATAAAACGTATCTATGGCAATGCATGTGCTCACCGGATATAGCAAAGGCAGAAATTCTTCTTCTTCTTATTATTATTATTATTAAAAAGAACATTATAGAAAACAAAACAAAATAAAATAAAATAAAATAAAATAAAATAGAGGGCATATTTGTCAAGGAAGCTAATTAAATTTGGAGACATCCAACAACGGACGCAACCAAACCTTTTTATGGAATAAACCAAAAATTCACATCTTTTTATATGTAATAATAAAATTAATTAATAATATCCAACTGGCGACGGTGGCTTGGCTTACCATCTATAAATAAAATGAATTCCTCAAATTTACAATAAAATTAGTATTTTATTTTATTTATTACCACGAGAAGAAGAAAATACTCCATAATGAGTGTGATTGTTGACAAAGAAATTAAAGAGATAATAATAATAAATAATAAAAGAGTCTTTAAAAATGAAGCATTAATTAAAGCAATTAAACAATATGGTCTGACGCGGTGAAAGATTCTCTTTTCACTGTGTGGGTCTTTTTGTAAAACAATTTTGGGTGTGTTTGTTGGGAGGTTTGATCTGGAATAGTAAAAAATTTGAATTGAAAGAAATAAAAGTAAAAAGATTAATTTAACCCATATAATATAAATGTAATGATATTTGTTTAATATATTGTAAATTGAAAGAGTATTTTGTAATGTTAGATAGACAGTAAAATTACTTAAAAGAAATAGATATTTTGTTATGTGACGGACCAAAATAAAAAAAATGGATAAATTGTTAAGGGACGGATGAAGTATAATATAAAAAATAAAAATTGACTGTTTGATTTAATATTTTTGGAAGAAAAATTTATGTGAATAATACTTGTATTTCAAAATCTCTCAAACAATTCTATACTTTTTATTTTGGAATTTGATATTGATTTTTGGTTTTAAAATATTCTCTCTGTCCTGTAATTAATTATCTTTTTTTTTTAGTATGTCTATAACAAAATATAAATTTATTTTTTTTTAGTAATTATTCTATCTACCTAACATTACAAATATCTTTACAATTTACAATATATTACACAAATGTCATTTACCTTTATATCACACAATATTAATAAAGTTATTTTAGTAACTTCTATTTTATTCATACTAAATCTAAATATAATACTAATATTTTTAAAATTATGAGCAAAAAGAATATTTTATATTATAAAGAAATACTTTGCATACATATATTTGAAACTATCGACATTATTCATCAATAATTTTAAAAATTATTATAGTATTTTATTTTTTATTTTTATAAAATATGATGTGTGTTTATTTAGTATTTTAATTTAAAATATTTTTATGTGAGATATACATAATATTATATTGATAATATAAAAAATAATATTTTATATTAAATTATTAATTTTTTTTGAGAAAATAAAACATATACTATTTATATTATACTATCATCGTCCGTTTTTAATGATCGCATTTACTTTTTGCATCGGAATGAAAAAGTATTTTTTTATTATTATTTATAAAAAATGGTATGAACAAAAACTTTTTAATGAAAAAAAAAAACCGTATATAAAAATATTTAAATTTTTTACTTATTATTATTATTATTATTATTTTAAAAAAAAAGAAACTGGGATGCCTTTTGGAACAATAGTATTTGGTTTCACATCACACCTTTCACTCACCTTTTATTCAATGGACCTTTTTCGGGGCTTTTCTTTCTCTTCTTCGCCTGCATCAGATTTATTTCAGAAATCTCACACCATTACTACCTCCTCTCTGTAAAGCTTATATTCCCCTCTTTCCCTTCTCTCTCTCTCTCTCTCTTCTTTTCTCTCTCTCTGCTTGGGGACCTTTTCCTGAGGTGGGGTCTGTGATTTATTGACTACAGCTTCACTTCAACACCCTCACCTGATATTGCTTCTCCAAAAGCTTCTGCATATTTCACGATTAAGGTTCCCTTTTCTTTCTTTTTTGTGTGTTTTCATGTTTTTGTTTCTGTTTTTTCTTTCAATCTTTTTAATGTTGTTGGAATCTGTATGAACTGATGTTGGTGCAATGTGATTTTGTGTTCTTTACTTCTTGTTGCTGTTGGGGGTAAAGAGGTAGGTGGGGTGGGGTTGGGGGTGGGGGACTGTGTTTCATTTTCCCTTTTGTGCTATTCCCTTTAATCTTACCTTTTTTTTTTTTTTTAAAACATTTCTTGATCTGAGGTGCTCTTAGATTTGGGGGTTTTGCATTTTGATTCTTCTGTAAATCTTGAGATTATTTTATTTAATTTTTTTTTTTGCAGTGATTGAAGAGCAGAAATGGCAGGAGGTGGAGCTCCAGCACCTAAGGCAGATGAACCAGCCCCCCACCCGCCCAAGGATCAACTTCCCAACGTTTCTTACTGTATCACAAGCCCTCCTCCATGGCGTTAGTTCGATTCTCCTGAATTTTGTTAATGATTGTTTCAGTATATTCTCTGCTTTGAAATGATAGATTTGGGAATAATTTGTTGTTTGATTCCTTTTTGATTCGTTCTCTGTAAGAATAATTGTTATCGAATTTTCGACATACTTTATATATATATATATGTCTTTATATTCTCAATTGTTTTCTAGGATTTGGTAGTACTGTCTTGTGGAATCTTTGCACTTTTCTGCATAGCCATTTGATTCCAATCTGTTGTTTTTGTATGGTATGTTGTCGACTGCGATTTGATTCGATTCGATTCGCCGCAAATGTGCGTTTTTTTTTGTATCATTTTGCTGAACTATATGATGCTTTTGATCCCTTTTAGTTCTTGAATCTCTTATTCTTCTTGCTGTAATCGAAACCGGATGCTTTAACTTTTTTCCGAGTGATCCTTTCAAGATTTAAGATCTATGCAACGTGTCGATGACTGTCGATTCTTTGGATTTCGTCGATCTTATGATGTTTTAATGTTGTGGATAAGATAACTTCAATGGATGTTACACAAATCTTCTCGGAAGTAATCTAATTCTACTTTGAGATCGAGATTCGAATAATCCTTTTTTCTTTAGTTGATTTAGTTGTAATCTACAAAAAGAATGATCTTTGATTCACCTTTTCACTTATCAAATATTTATGTAATGAGTTCGAGCTTCAATTTGTAATCTTTGGCTTTTATTGTTCTTCAGCCGAGGCGATCCTTCTCGGATTTCAACATTATCTGGTGATGCTCGGGACGACAGTCATCATACCGACGGCTTTGGTTCCTCAAATGGGAGGCGGAAATGTGAGGCATTAGTTAGATATTCTTTTTATTACATTTCCGATTCGATAAAAGCGTCGACATTTTTCTTGATTCAATTTTTCGGTGAGTCTTTTTTCAGGAGGAGAAAGCGAAAGTTATCCAAACTCTGCTGTTCGTCGCCGGGCTGAACACTCTGTTGCAGACATGGTTCGGGACTCGATTACCTGCCGTAATCGGAGGTTCGTACACCTTCGTTGCGCCCACGATTTCGATCATCCTATCTAGTCGATGGAGTGATCCTGATCCCATCTCGGTACACGACCACTTTTTCTTGAATTTTTCGTCCTTTTCTGACCTCTCGGGACATGTTTTCGCTAACCTTAACACGAGCTTTGATTTGCATATAAAGAGGTTCAAGAAGGTAATGCGGGCCACACAGGGCGCGCTCATTGTCGCCTCTACTATTCAGATTGTCCTCGGCTTCAGTGGTCTATGGCGCAACGTTGCAAGGTTTGTTATCTCTCGTCTATTTAATTGATTAGAAAGTTTTATGATTTCGATAATTCGCAAGAATTCAAAATGTGCTTATCTTTTCCTCGAGTAGGTTTCTTAGCCCACTTTCGGCTGTTCCTTTGGTCGCTCTCGCCGGTTTTGGGCTCTATGAATTTGGTTTTCCCGGGGTATACTCTCTCTCTCTCTCTCTATATATATATATATGCTTTGCCCCTTAACAAGGTATTTATTTTTCTTTTACGTCACTGTACTTAACATTAAAAATATTCTTATATTTATAATAATTTTTTGTACAAATGTCATTATATTAGTATTATAAGACACTGATAGAAGTATTTTTGACATTTTCTCTTGATTTGTAATACGTTTTGATATAATAATTACTATTCAAATATCAACACACAAAAAAGTAAATGGATACTTAGTTACGGGAAGAAGAGAATATATGTATTTGTATAATATATATATATATATGTGTACCGATTGTGATTTGTGATAAGCTAATTGAAATGATTTTTTCCTTCATTTTAGGTTGCTAAATGTGTCGAAATCGGGTTGCCGATGCTCATAATATTGGTTCTGTTTTCTCAGGTAATAAGTGGTTTTATGTTCTTCGAATGACTTAAAAAATCGATACAGAGTTCGAAATACGTGTCTAAAAAATTGTATATCGGGTTTGCAGTATTTGGTCCACTTGATACGTCCAGGGAAGAACATCTTCGACCGCTTTGCGGTCATATTTTCTGTCGTAATCGTTTGGATATACGCGCACCTACTCACTGTGGGTGGCGCCTATAACAGAACATCGCCGCGGACCCAAGCGAGCTGCCGAACCGATCGTTCGGGGCTTATCAATGCCGCTCCATGGTAATAAATGTCGCGTTGTTTACTCGAGTAATTACATTATCGATACGGATCTTGTGGTAATGAATGCTTAAGTTGTTTTGTCTGAAATCATTCGCCCTTGCAGGATAAGAGTTCCGTACCCTTTTCAGTGGGGAGCTCCTTCGTTTGATGCTGGCGAGGCCTTTGCGATGATGATGGCTGCGTTCGTTGCGCTCATCGAGGTTAGTTTTGCTCGTAAATGTTTTTTCTTTTGTTTTAGGCGACGAGGTTGTAAGATTCTTAAATATTTGCGTTTTTCTTGTTTTGTTACGTAACTTTATGGATTGTTATTGCAGTCGACCGGTGGATTTATTGCCGTATCGAGATATGCCAGCGCGACCCCTTTGCCTCCGTCGATTCTCAGCCGTGGGATCGGGTGGCAGGTACGGCCCCACTTCGAGACGTAACAAATTTTCAGCCAACTCGATTATTTATGTTTTTGTGTGTTCCAGGGTGTCGCTATCTTGCTGTCGGGGCTGTTCGGGACCGGCAACGGATCCTCTGTGTCCATGTAAGAACTTTACCGATTACTTATATTTATTCGACTGTCTTTTCGCGATTTACTTTTAACATATGTTTCGAGTGTCGTACGCAGCGAGAATGCCGGCCTACTCGCGCTTACTCGAGTTGGCAGCCGAAGGGTCGTGCAAATATCTGCTGGGTTCATGCTTTTCTTTTCCGTGTTAGGTAAACGGTTCTCTCGATATATATATATATCTTATCTCTTATTTGATTTGCGCTGTGCATATTATTCGATTTACGATGCGTAATTGTATCGTCGCAGGGAAATTCGGAGCGGTTTTTGCTTCGATTCCGGCTCCAATTGTGGGCGCGTTGTATTGCCTCTTCTTCGCCTATGTTGGTACGCCCCCCACCCCCCGACTAAATTATTTTCGTCGTAATATTTCTACTAGACAACACATGCGTATATGTATGCATATGTATATATATATATATGTAGGCGCGGCCGGAATAAGTTTCCTTCAATTCTGCAACCTCAATAGCTTCCGCACCAAATTCATTTTGGGGTTCTCGATTTTCCTCGGCTTGTCCGTTCCGCAATACTTCAATGAGTACACCGCCATTAAGGGATATGGGCCCGTCCACACCGGCGGAAGATGGGTATGCCGTTTGTTATTTTTGCGCACTTCGTTTATTTTGGTTCTGTGTTTAAATAGTGATTGAATACGATATTTTATGAAAAAAAAAAAATTATAGAGAATCGTAAGAATTTCATAGTAAGGTCTTTATGTATTTTGCGGGTATTACTTGTATTTTGGTAGACGATGTTTCCGTTAAAGCGTAAATTATCGCGCTAGCTAAAATTGTGCATAGAATTTGCGTACAAAATCTTGATAACATAGGAACGCTAGTTTTACGTATATACTTTATCTTTGTACTAAATACTGCTGAAAATCTTATAAAAAATAATACTACCTCCGTCTCATAAAATCTGTAATATTTATTTTTTGTACGTAGATTTTTTAATATTAGTATTATATTGGTTTATAGTGAAAATGACAAAAATGCATTTATTATTGTGTGATATAAAAATAATGATATTTGTGTAATATACTAAATTAGAAAATAGTACTTTTGTTTTGTTTTGAAACGGACAAAAATGGAAAATAGTATCATTCTTATGAGACGGACGAAAGGGAGTATTTTGTGTTGAATTATTAATTGTTTACGAGAGAATGAAGCATATACATTGTATTTCTTGTTAATATTTATCGGGAATTGTGTCGGTAATAATTTGTTGGATGAACAAACCTTTTGTTTTGATTCGATTTCCGACGATGTTTGCAGTTCAACGACATCGTGAATGTCCCGTTCTCATCGGAAGCTTTTGTGGCGGGGATCGTCGCGTTCTTTTTGGACAACACGATGCGCAAGAAGGACGGGCAAATAAGGAAGGATCGAGGCAAGCATTGGTGGGACAAATTCCGGTCGTTCAAGACGGATAATAGGAGCGAGGAGTTCTACTCGTTGCCGTTCAATCTCAACAAATATTTCCCGTCCGTTTGAATGCCGGACGGACGGCCGATCGTCGGCGTCGCCGGAAAATTACATTGTGTGTGTTGAGGATGATGATGATGGATATGGGAATGTGAACTTTTGTTTTGAAATAGTGAATCGAATTGGTAATACAAGGAAAGTATAAGTAAGGTCCTCCGCCGGACAGTTTTAAAGTTTGTTTGTTTTTATTTTTATTTTATTTGTAAATTATGTTATGTAGTTTCAGGGGTGTAGAATTGCTTATAATCTACTACTTGTTATAAATATAATTGTTTAAAATTTGGGTCAGATATTTTTATTTTTTTTAGAAAAAAAAAAAATTAAAAAGTGTTGCACAAAGTTTTTGAAAAAGAATTAGGTGTAATATTTTTAAAAATATGAATGCAATTTTTTTATTTTTTATTTTTAAATTAGAAATGAATTAAAAGTAATTTACTTATTTTGAATTTGAAATTATACTCCCTCTCTTCCAAAATACATCGGCTCATTTGATTTGGGATACGGTATTTATGATAAAAGAGTTTAATAAGTTAATAATATTGAATTATGATATTATTTTATTATGTTTTAATATGAGTAATATTATTGGTAGTTTTAATATACTCCTTCCGTTCAAGCTAAAAGTATACATTTACTTTTGGCGCGGAGATTAAGAAATAATAGTATTTTAATTATAGTGTGTAGGTAAAAGTAGTGAAATGATATTTTTGCCCTTATTTTTTTGGTATAAAAGTAATGATGTGATGTGATGTAAAATAGGGGTATTTATGAAAAAAACGGGGTATTTAATGAAATGGTTACTTTGTAATTGGACGTCCCAAAATAGAAATATATATTAAAATAAATTTAAAATATGTGTTTAAATATTTTAAATATTATATTTCAATAAGACAATACATATATGCAATATGAATATAATTTAATATTTTAAATAATACAAATAAACAAAAAATATATATATTTATTTATAATTAAGATAAAACTAATTTTATAAAATAATAGCAGAAGTTTTAAATGTAGATAAAATTATTTGTTTATTGAGAAGAGATATAGAAATAAAAGTATTTTAAATTGATCTTACGTGATGTATTATGTTATATGTTATTAAGTTAATTTAAATGATTTATAGTTGTTAAAGTATCGATAAATTTAATAAATTTTACTAAAAATAAAAATGTGTCAATTGAACTAACCGACAACAACAGAAAAATGAGACAATTGAAATAATTCGGAGATAGCATAAATTGAGACAATTGAAATAATTAGGAGATAGCATAAATTTATAATAGGGACATCTTAGTTATTTATATATTTTTAAAGCTTTAATACTATTTATTAATAATAAATTATAAAAATAATCATATCAAATAGTACAATTTTTTTTTCTTAAATGAAGTATTATTTTTATATTAGGTATAAATTTTTTTATAAAATCCAAAACTTAAAAAGAATTTGTATCTAAATTGAACTTCAAGCGTGTGCATTCAATATTTAGCATTTTAAAAAATACGTAGTTTTTAATAAAAATATTTTATTTTATTTTATAAATAATAAATAATAGACATTTAATATTTTCACCATTTCTAAAAAGACTACAATCTCAGTATCTCTATATTTTGTTTATTATGTTAGACTATTGTTTAATCTCAATGTTACATTTTATTATATATTATATTAAATAAATTAATTGTTTTTATTTAATATTTTTTTTTTTATTTTTAAACTAATTTAAAATTTTAAAATATTTTAAAAATATATTAATACTAGTATATTCAAAATTGAACTAATGTCTACCTAATTTTACTATTTTACCATCGTACTTTGTTTTTTTATATTTTTGGGTAAGTTATTCTTTTGTTCCGTAAATAGACTAATTTATTATTAGAGTTTTGTACTTAAAATTTGTAGAAAACAGTGGAAAATTTTCGTATCTACTTTGTTTTTTTTTTATATTTTTGGATAAACTGATTTTTTTTTTCATAACTGGACTTATTTATCATTAGAGTCTCGTAATTGAAGTATGTAACAACAACAACAACAATAATAATAAATTATAAAAAAAAAACATTATAGTACTTGGTTATAATCTAAAATTGAAATCAATATATTTATATTGTATGTTTTTCAATAAAAATATATATTTAAATTCTATAAAATATTATATTAAAATATTATTTAAATAAAAATATAAATCTAACACTCAATTTCAAACTATAATTATACAAACTCACAATTTAGAATGAATATATTGACTATTTAATCTAATGATATTTACCATCCAAATGCCCCAAGTAAATATGTGTTAAATATGATTTAAAAATATTTTGAAATTTTTAGTTGATTTGAAAATAGTAAAAAATTATGTGTTAAATATGATTTAAAAATATTTTGAAATTTTTAGTTGATTTGAAAATAGTAAAAAATTAATAAAAATAATTATTTAATGCAATATTAAAGACTTTCAGTGTTTCTTAAAAAAGAGAACCGTAAAATAAATTTAAAAACGTAAATAAAAATCTTATTGGTCTTGAAATATTTCGAATTTATTTATTTATTTATTTTTATTTTTTTATTTCTTTTATATGTTCGACTAGACATCAATATCTAATTTTACTAGAAATCGAGGATGGGCTCGATGAGCCCTAGTCAAGGTTTTTAGTGGGCCGAGCCAAATTCATAGATCTATTCAATAATGTTTGGGTTTGATTATGGGCCTTTTGTAGGTCCATCTAGGCCCACATAGGTAGGACCAATCCAAGCCCTTCCACGCAACAAAAATTTAAAAAAGATAAAGGAAAAATAAATTAATATTAATCTTCTCATAACCCCAAATTATTTTTAACAAAAACAGAAAATTTAGAAATTAAATTAGTGAAGATTAATTGATGATTTGATATTTTAAATTTATATTTGTTGGGAGAGAATAAGTGCTGCGCCAATATACTCTTGAACACTTATTTAAAGGGCTAATTCCCGAAGTATAGTTATATTACAGTTATAACGGCGACTTGTCAACGAAATAAATGCAGAGACCAAAGCAATAAATGACAAGTTATTTGCTAACCCGGTTCGGTTATAACCAATCTACATCCGGGAGATTCCAATTCAGGAGAGGTTCATTAATCAGTGCGGATTAAGAACAAAATACCCAAAACTCCTTCAACCCAAACTACAATGCTAATTATCTAGGAAAATCCCTCCACAGGCATATGTTGTCACAAACGCATACTGACAACTAACAAATAGTTGGGCAGCTTAGATTCTGAATGTTCCCTGATCGGATTTTGATTTCCCTTCGACCGACGAACTCTTCAGCGAGATAGTAGTGTATATCACCCACTTAATGCATAGAGATGAAAAATGTTGAGGTTGAGAGGATTGTTACAATTTTTCTTTCACTACATACTCCGTCAAAACCACCACTCTCCCTTCACCCTTCCATAGACGAGCTGTAAGGCAGCCACAACCGCCATTGTGATAACATGTAATTAATTCCCTTAATACAAACAAGGAATGATGTGTATCTGTTCACTTCTGACCACATAGGACAAACTCAAAGTGTCCATTTTGTCTTGAGAATCCATCATTCTTAAGAAAGATAATTCTCTTGATATGATTGCACAGTTGGGTCAAATGTTGCTGTTTATGGAAAATCTAACGACAACAACAGCAAAAAGAAGATTTGTCAATATACCAAAAATAGGTGATGAGGTTTTTCAACTTAACAATATTTATAAAAATTATTTTGATTCATAATACCACTTTAAATCCTTATTAAAACCACATCAAAATTATAGTATTTAATTTACTACCTACTATTTTCATAAATATCAAAACATAATAATGTGTGTTTTATTTTAAATTTTGTAAATGCTCATTTTTGTTAAATTTTTTTAGGTGAAATAATAATTGAATATAATCAATTTGTATGAAATGTTAATATGTTTTTATTGAAATACCAAAACAACTTGATTAAAAAAAAAAAAACCAAAAATGAAAAACACGAACAAAAAATACACACTAATTTAAGAGACTGAAAAGTTTTTTCTACTTTAAGTAGACCATAAATTATATTCAAATAATTCTAATCGAGTCAATACGAAGTGATTTTATTTTATTTTTTAATAACTTGAAAACTCGCAGCTCCTACTCTAAAAGTGCGTATTGGATAAACCCCGAGCGAATAGAGACCAAAAATCATGAGTGACGAGCCAGCAAAACAACTCAAAAAATAATTTGAAAATTTTATATACACATCACGAATTAATTCCTTTTTTTTTATATATATATATTTTATTTTATTCTTATTTGAAATCAATTTTGTGACAGCTATTGATGAAGTCTTGACAAATAATTTCAAATTACATTACAGACATATTAATGGGTGCATCCATCAAATCATTTTTTACTAACATAATTATCTATAATATTATTAAATATAAATATAAATATATATTCACAAGAATGTCAATAATTTTAAGTACTCTATCCATCAACCAATTTTTTTTTTTTTTTTTTTTTTTTTTTTTTTTTTTTTTTTTTTTTTTTTTTTACCTCTAAATTTATTCAAGTTTTATTTTTTAGTATCAAAATACCACTTTTTCTTTCTTTCTTTCTTTCTTTTTTTTACTTTTTATTTATCTAAAAAAATAAAATTTTCTAGTTTTACTTACTTTTTTTAAAATTCGTGTATGATCAAATAAACATACAATTGAATGACAGAGTATAGAATATTATTTTTATATTGTTCTAATAGTTTTCATGAAAAATTACATTAATCCAAAAATACAAAACAAACACATTCTTTAATACAATATTCTGAAAGAATATTTTTATAATTGAATAATGCTTACTAACAAAAAAATTAAGTGAATACAAGGGTGTGTTCGTTTAACATATTTCTCTAAATTTCTACCATTAATTAATTAATTAATTATTATTTTTTAAATAAAATTAAATATTTATTTTTATTTTTATATTATATTAAAATTAAATTTTACATTTAAAACATCACATCAACATCATTAATATCACATTATACAACTATTTCAATTCAAACAAACACACCATATATTTTGAAAATACTAAAATATTAAATTAAAATAATTATTTAATGTTATATGAATAAATATTCTGATGTGATAATTTGAATTTAAAATAATTTTTAAATTTAATATTTTATGCTAAAATATTTGATATTATTATATTTGTCATCCAAATTTATGTTAATTTTTTTTTTTTTTTTTTTTTTTGTCATAAAAAATTTTCATTTTTTTTTTCTAAGTAAAAAAATACTACAAATTTTCAACTTTTTCTTTACTATAATTTTTTTTGGGGTTTTGAGTGGGTCCTACATGTTTGAAGTTTAACTAAATTAATTTATATTTGTTAAGTATGTTTAATATTGATAAATTTGTCAAAAATGGAAATGAGTCATCTGTTGTGGGACGTACAAAAAAAAAAATTGGGTCATCTGTGGCAGGACGGAGGAAGTATTAAAAATAATAAAAAATTGTTTCTGATATAAATAAAAATAATAATACTCCACCCGTCTCACTACAATAGTCTTGTTTACCATTTTTATCCGTCCCAAAACAATAGTCTTATTTTCATAAATAATCATATCATCATAAAACTACCCATATTTTTTCATTTTTATTACACAATTGCCACTACTTTTTACACTAATACACTCAGAAGGGCAAAAAAATCTTTTATCCATACTTTTTACCAACTGTCAATGTAATATCAATATTCCTTAAATCTCGTATCCAACCCAATCAAGACTATATTTATGGAACCGATAGATTAATTAAGAATATATATATATATATATATATATATCCGATCGATACGACAAGATATTGCAAGTCGTCATTTAAAGGATAGAAAGTTAAAACAAGAGAAAAGTTGAAACACTTCGTTGGCATTAAAAGGCCTTCCCAATTGTGTCCTAAAAAATGGTCCTCAAAATAATAATAATAATAATAATAATAATAATAATAATAATAATAAGTAAATAAATAATAATAATAATAAAAGAAAAATAAAAAAATGGTCCTCAAAATCGCTACTCATATCTTCCCCAATTAATACGCTACACTTTTATTTGTATTTTTGTATCATTCAATCCTTTTCTTTCAAATAAACATTTTTTTTTTGAAAATTTTTTAAATTAATAATAATAACACATTTCTTTATTTATGATTTTTTATTGTTTTTTAGTCTGTTATTTGTTAATATTTTTGAAATAAGATAATTGTTAATAATAATAACACACGTCGTTGTTTTACTAATGACATTAGAGACGAAATTAAAGAGGGAATTTCGTTAATAATATATTCCAATACTATTCAGTAATGCTTTTCTCACAAAATATCACATGACCAATAAAAAAAGAAAAACTAAATTTTTATTTATTTTATTTTTAAATTTCAAAAGTCTTCGTAGTAAATTTAATAGTATATATATATATATTTTACGAAAATTATAATTAAGCAATTGTTCGTTTTATATTAAATGCTTTCACAAAGAATTTGCAACGTTGACTTGTTCCAATTTCTGATAAAATTGTGGCTGAAAATATGGAATGGGCAATGGCAGATTAGATAAAATGGAATGGGATATTATTATTATTATTATTATTATTATTATTATTTATTTATTGAGTGCACGAATAATTGAGTGTATTTGCCCATTTTTGTGTTTCCTTTTTCAGTTTTAGCCACTGCTGTTTGTACTTCTCAGAAATCGTGTCTCCCAATTTCCCACAGAGTCGTGTTTGGTACTCCACCGATTTATCAAAAACTAATTTATTGTAAAACAAAAAAATTAACGTGGGTCCGTAAGAATGACCTGGTAGTATGAGAAATGAATTTATAGTCTAGGTCATATTTTTTAATATTTTTTAAAAATAAATAATGTCAAATGAGAAAAAAAATATTAATTTATATATATATATTTATAAACAAATTCTATTGAGAAAGTGTAGCATTTTTTTTTTTTTACGTGAGAATCCGCAGTCGCTACCCAAAAGTGCAGTAAACCACCAGCCGAAAGTGTAGAAAATATTTGAACTTGTGCTTTGTTGTCAACTCACAAATTTGGGTTTGTTTCTTTTGACACCAAACCCAAGTTTCTACTATTTGGATTCTGAGTTTTTAAAAAAGAATATACATTTTCTTTTAAAAAAATATCTCATCATACATTATTTTAATATCGAATCCAAATCAAATTTTTCCTAAACCCATCAAAAGAAACATCTCACTCTCTTTTAAACGACGAACAACTATTTTTTGAGTACGTTTTGGATAAATTCTAACCGAATCTACTGAGATCATGCGCGATAGACTCCAGTAAACATCACTAAATCATTTTTTACAGGACAAATATTACTTTACTTTTGATAAACAAAAGAGTATCATTATTACTTTATATGTTATATTTATATTATATTAACATATATTATTTTGTGTTATTATTTTATATTTCATATTTTGTTATGTTTATAAATAAAAACTTAACAATACTTAATTATCATTAATCTAGTGTTGATTATATTAGACCTTAATCACCTATAATGGGATAAAATAATATTATCCTAATCCAATTATTCAAATTAAATATACTAACAAATACTTTTTCAATATAATAAAAAAGATATACATGAGAATTCAATACTCGCCTAAAAATGAGATGATTTTATAAATATATATTTATAAAACCACCATTATATTTATTTTGATTTTTTTTTTCTAATTTTTTTATCATACAAATTTTTTGATTTTAAAAAAACACATGATATTTGTTCTCATAAAATATTATATTTTTAAAAAATAGTGTACTACAAATAAATATTATATTTTTAAAAAAATATTAATAAAAATAAATTTTCTAAAAAATTGAAAATATAATACCAATTGAACTTTCATGCCCTAATATTATCTAACTGTACTATTAAAATATTGATTTATTATTATATAGCTATTAAATAAGAAAAAAAAATTGTGTAATACCACTTCTTTTTTTATTTTTATTTTATTATTTTTTTAATTATATCCAAAATGATCCCAACTGTTAATTTTATATTTCTATTGAATAAAGTGGGTAATTAAAAATATTATGAATTTGTCATCAAGTGGCAAAAAGTTGGACAAGGTGCCATGTAACGAGGAAGGAATATTTGGCACTGAAATTAATTAAAACTTGTCCATGCATAATTTTTACAATTTTTCTATTCTTAATTAAAAAAAATAATAATAATTGAATTAAAATTGTATTTAATACAATGTAAATGGACATGTAATATTTTGAGTGAAAATTGATAATATAGAATGAATACTCCCTTTCGTTCCAAAAGTATAGTCTTATTGTGTTGGACATGATATTTAAAAAATATTAATATTATAGTGCTAGTCGGTAAAAAGTAATGATAAATATTTTTTTTACCTTTGTGAGTATATTAGTATAAAAAGTAGTGAAAATGGTATAATAATAATAAAAAAGTAGGGATAGTTTTATGGTGATATGATTATTTACAGAAATGAGACTATTGTTTCGAGACAGACAAAAATGATAAACAAGACTATTGTATTGGGACGAAGGGAGTAGTAAATAGCGGATTCAGAGGAGTAAAATACTACTAGTGTGTTTACTTGTGATGTTTTGGTTTTGAATAATAAAATTTTGAATTAAAATAATCGTTTGATGTGATATAAATATATAATTATGTGATGTTCTGAATGTAAAATTAGATTTTATTGTAATAAAATAAATAAAAACTGAATGTTTAATTTAATGTTTTTGGAGAAAAAATAAAATTGAAATATTAAAATTATACGTTAAAAAAAAAAAGGAAAAATAGAAAAAGGAACTTGAGTTACGTTTTACCATATTTAGAAACAAACATAAACAAATCTTCTCATTACAACACTATTTTTATAAAAAAGGAAAAATAAAAAAACTTACCTAACAGCATATTTTTTTCAAATAAAAATAAAAATAAAAATTATATGTAGCTGTAAAATTATCAACTAATTATTCAAAGCCCGATCAATCTCCACCGTTGATTTCCCAAACCCCACAGCATCAACAGCACCGATTCATCCCTACTAAACTCCAGGACCTTCCTCCCGCAACCTCTCCAATCCAACGCCAGACAAATCTACACCATCCGTATAAATCCATCAACGGCTCAGATCTATCGTCCTCCCGATCCAGGACTTTTCAAGCCCAACTCTCCCTAACTTCCTTTTATAGCGCTTTCTTCTCCATCAAACCCCCTCTCCTCCTCCTCCTCCTCCTCCTCCTCCTCCTCTCTCTCATCATTTCTCTCTCCTCTCAAAAACAAAAAAAAATTTCAGATTCAGACAAATGGGGAATTGCCAAGCAGTCGATAATGCAACGATAGCAATTCAGTGTCCAAACGGAAAAGTAGAGAAGCTCTACTGCCCAATCCCCGCCGGAGAAATTATGCGGCTGAATCCCGGCCACTACGTCGCCCTTCTACTCACCACCACGCTATATTCCTCCGCCGCCGTCGCGCCCTCCGCCGCCGGAGGCGGCGGCGGCGGCGCCAATACTCCACTTAGGGTTACGAGAATAAAGCTTCTCAGACCTTCCGAAACCCTCGCCCTTGGTCATGTCTACAGACTCGTCACCTCACAAGGTCTCTACTTTATTTTAAATTAATTATTTTTAAATAATTAATTAATTAATTAATTGATTGATTTTTGTTACTGTTAGAGGTGATGAAAGGGCTATTGGCGAAGAAGATGCAGAAGAATGGGAAGAAAACGATGACAGAAAAGCAGCCTTTGTATTTCGAAGGAGATGATGGGATGAAGACCAATCAGGTTTGAGAAATTGAAAAAATAAAATAAAATAAAATAATAATAATAATGAAAATAAAATTTGTATTATTGCAATTAGTTTTGTGTGAACTGACTGACTGAGGTGTTTGTTTTCAAGAATGATATATTTATTGGGATTTGGTAATAGTTTACAGTGCCAAAGTACTGTTGAGATTCTCTTTGTTTTCTACTTTCCATTTTTGTTAATTATTAGGAAAACAACAAGAAAAAGATAATTATATATATATATATAAATAAATAAATAAGCTATTATTGTATGCCGTACGTGCAATTTCTCATAATTTCCATATCTTCTAAACCCTCTTTTTTTTTTTTTTTTAATTAGCCTTCAAATTTTTAGGGTTTTCAATGATATATATCATCAAGTTCCACATTATGTTTTCTTTACTTGTGTTTTCAATATTCATCAATATATATATTTTTTTCTAAAAAAATCTCATATAATATATAATAATGAAATTCTATTTTTACTATTTTAAAAATCCCTTCCTGACTAGGTGATATGGGCAGTAAATAATTGTGTGCACAGATTTCAACAGATTGCTTACCCTTTTGTCAGTTAATGTCTACAATTTTATGGAATAAAAATTTCTAGAGATCGATAATAGATAGATGGATAGATATGATCATATATACCGATGAGAGAGAGAGAGAGAGAGAGAGAGAGAGATGGGTACTTAGGGTTGGTTGTTCTTGGCCATAGAGGTCACATTCGAGAAAATTAATATTGTCTGATGTAAGAAATAAGTTTGTATTGATATGGGGGAAATGTCCATTTCAGGGAACTAGCCAAGAAAGGCACAGGCCAAGAATATTATGCACCACCACTGATCCACTAAACTCATCATCTGCTAGATCAAGATCAGGTTCGGGTCCGAATCCGGGTCCGGGTTCGGGTCCGGGTTCGGGTGGGTGCAACAAAGGTGGGATGAGAACATGGCAGCCTGCATTAAAGAGCATCTCCGAATCACTCTCCTGATCATCGATCCATCTTTTAAATAATATTTAATTTAATTTTAATTTCCTGTCTTATATATATATATATATATATATATATTGGTGCATGTTGGTCGTCTGTGTGTTGTCTGTCTGTATGTAGATTTTTGGTTAGATAATGAACGTGGGCACTGACGACACTGCTATGAACATGGATCCAACAGCCTCAGATTCAGATTTAGCTTCTTAGATAACATCTATAATATGTTTAAGAATTGCAACAACATTAATTAACTAATTCTTTTTTTTTCCTTTTATAATTATTCTAATAACCTGGGAATCCGGCTAGATAAATGTACGAGCAAGCATAATAGTTTGCAAATCAAGTCAATAGTGAGAATCATATGTGTGTTTCTTTTGGTTGAGTAAACACAGAGTCCAAATAATAAAATACGGAGAAATTTGATTAAAGAAACATACTCATACTAATCAAGCAATATGTAACAAACTCGACTTTAGGGTCTCTACACTAATTCGACCATCGGTAAAATCACATATATATATATATATATTTGTATTCACTTTGATTTATCAAAGCAATCAATAAAGTCGAAATTAATTGGAAAATATACACATGAAATGTAAAAATTTGTTAATCCAATTAGGCCATAAAACTTACATCGGGGAATATCAATCCAGATCATTTTACTAATATTACCCGAGAATTGGACAAGTTTTTCATATCACAATTTCACCAATGTGTAATATTAAAATGCAAACTAATTCACGAATTATCAATGCAAATGTATCGCCGTTGTAGGGCACAAATACAAGGTCTCGAACTCTCTGGTTTTAGTCTTGCTCCGGGCTAAAAATTCATGATTGATCTCCGTCGTCTCCTACTTCTTGTTAATGTTAATCCACTCCTCAATGCATGAAATATATCCTCAACGCCTCCACGTTTTGTCTACCACACATGGTTCGCCTAGTGTAACTTGTCTTGTCGGACATAGTTTGTAGGCTATTAGATTCAGCCGGAAGTTTACCCAGAGTGCACTCGTTAAGTAGCAACTGCGGGTTTTCACGTTATCAAAAAAATATATATACAAAATGAATTCCCGAAACCTCACAAAAATAGTTTCTACAAACCATGAAATAAACAATAAAAATATCTCGGAATCCTCGTGATTTCCTCACACACATTATATATGTTGTCTATCCTCAATATATTTTGTTTGTTGTAGGAGGAACCTACTAATAACTATACATCCAAACCAAAATAATTCGAATAGCATTGTCTTGGAAAAAAGGGATGTGAGTAATGCAAAATTTTACGAATATAATGTCGTCGAGCTCTGACAATGGTATGATTCTAAGAGAGGTTACGAATACACAAGTGACTTATGTCGAAAGTTATGAATAGATCATTCAAGCTAGGATCCATAAATTGTTACGAGTACCCTATTACGATTCTCTCTTATGTTTTGGCTTCAATGAGTTCCTTTAACTAATAGATCTAGACAATAAGTCACCGAAAAAATTATTGAGGTTGGAGTGCGTTATTATAAATGTTATGCAGAAGCGGAGCTATCTTAGGACTCAGGAAATCTTATATTCCCTCCGTCCCATTGAAATGTTACTATTTTCTATTTTCGTCCGTTTCAAAACAAGGTTACCATTTTCTAATTTAGTAATTGTACTACCTACATAACATAATAAATACCATTTCAACTTACATTATATTACATAAATGGTATTACTTTTAAATTATACTATACTAATAAGGGTATTTTTGTCTTTTTTTATTACAATCCAATATAATACTAATATTAAAAAATCTATGTGCAAAAAACAAATGTCAACCTTCAAATGGGATGGAGGGAGTATATAAAAAATTATTTTCACTACAAGAAATTATCAATTTTGTAACGAGGTTTTTTCGTTTCTAAATTCATTTTTTCCGTTACTAATGATATTAGAGACGGAATTAGAGATGGAATTACGTTAGCTACGTGAACTTTAGGAACGGAATTTCGTTGCAAATATACCATTTTTTTTTTGTAGTGTTTATCTCACAAAATATTACATATAATCATCGTTTAAATACAAAATATAAATACAAACACACCCTAAAAGTTCATTTGCTTGAAATTTGCACGCAAGGGTAAGCAAATTAATTTGTGACTATTCCTATATAATTCTTGGGTTTAAATTTTAAGTTTCTTATAAATGTTTATATAAAAATGACAAATTATTGAACCTACAAATGATACTACTAGCCTTATTATTTCTTGAATTACATGGACAAGTTCAATTATAAATATATTTGGGCAACTTCACATCCAATATCTACGGACATTATATTCAATAATAAAATAATAATAATAATAATAATAAATGAATAATAATTCTTCCCTCGATAATTTATCCATTTTTTTTTTATTTTGATCTGTCTCATAACAAAGTATTTATACCGTACTTATGATTTAACAATACAATACGCTTATAATTTACAATATATTACACAAATGACATTACCTTTATATCATACAATACTATATTGATTAGTTTAATTTTTTTTTCTACTACATCCCAATATAATACTAATATTTCTAAAAACTTCGTACAAAAAGTAAATGGACAGATAAATATGGGACGAAGGGAGTATTTTACATTATATTTTTAACAATTTATTGTAAATGAACAGCATTAAAAATTTCAAAACTGGCTATATAAATAGAGCCAATTCTATGATATGTATATATATTTTATAATTTAATTTTTTTTTTTTATTATTAAGTTATATCCAAAGTTGGGCCAATCAATATATTTGGGCCATATTAAAACACGAACGACTCAAAGGTTAATTTATACCTAAATTTATTGTAGAATATTCAAATTTAGGCTGATGTCTGGGTGTGAGGTTAATTGGGCTGGATCTCAGTTATTATTATTATTATTATTTTTTTTTGGTTAAATTGCACATAATCCACCAGTTTCATGAAATTGCACCAAATTTTCGTACTTTTAAAACTGCGTCAAACTTTCTCGTGGTTTCATAAACTTTGCATCTAACCCCTCAACGGTCCTTTATTTAACGGTATTTTACTTACAAGCGCTCAAACTGCAAATAAATTTTAAAATCTCAATTTCTAAACCCCTAAAATTACAAATATATTATATATATATATTTAGCCTAAAGAAATAGTAAAAATAAACTTTTAAAAGCTGAGAAAAATAACCATTTTTGAGTATATTTCCTAATTTTTTGAGGGTAAATATAAAAAAAATAAATATATTTGTAATTTTAAGGGTTTAGAAATTGATATTCTAAAATTTATTCGCAATTTGAGCGCATTTAGATCAAATACCATTAAATAAGGACCTCGAGGGGGTCAGATGCAAAGTTTATGAAACCACGAGGGAGTTTGATGCAGTTTTAGAAATATTGGGGATTTAGTGCAATTTCATGAAACCACGAGTGGATTTTGTGCAATTTAAATTTTTTTTATTTTATTTTTATTTTTTCTTCTCACATTAAAAGAAATATTAATTTAAAATATTAATCAAACATTGATTTCGATAAGACATATTTTTTAAAATTTTTAATTTTGTAAAAATTTAGAAATAATAAAAAATTAGTATTTGTTATAATATTTTATGAAAAAAAATAATTTTATATTTTTTTAAAAAATTATTGTTGATAAATAGTGTAAAAAAATTTGTGTAAAGGGGATCTTATTTAAATAGCATGAACTGTTTATTCAATTTAAATTTTTAATCAAATTGTTGTATATCATTGCAAATTGAGAGGTTTGGGTGGGAAATTTGATTTTAATATTTAGTAATGAGAATTTGTTTGATTGAAAATTAAATTATGATTTAATATATATTTGATCAAATAAAGTTAAATTAAAATATATGTTGAATGTTTTTAAAATTTATATTTAAAATGGGTTTTTTTTTTAAATAAAGAAAAAAATCTTATATAATATAAATAAATAAAATTCAACTTCACAAAACTCGTATGCAAATTTAGGAAATTGCATCAAATTCTTATATTTTCAAAATTGTGTCATTCTTTCATAATTTGATAAATTCTTGTGTCTAATTCATTTGGTTGTATTTATTTAACAGTGTTTAACCTCAATGCGCTCAAATTGTAAATAAATTTCAAAATCTCTATTTTTAAATTCCTGAAACTATAAATACATTCATTTATATATATATATATATATTTAGCCTTAAAACAGTAAAAAAAAATTAGAATTAGAGGAAAATAACTATTTCGGAGTATATTTATTGTTTTCTTAGGCTAAATGTAAAAAGACTAAATATACCGCTAATTTCAAGTGTTTAGAAATGAAAATTTTGAAACTCATTTACAGTTTAAGCGCGTGCATGTCAAACACCATAAATAAAGATGTCCAAAGGGTTAGAGGCAAAATTTATGAAACTATTAGAGAGTCTAACACAGTTTTAAAAGTATAAAAAATTTAACACAATTTCATGAAATTGCAAATAGCTTCTCCAAAAATACATATTCATTTATACATAAATAACATAAAATTTAAAAAAAATATATAGAATTTTAATTTTATATAGATATATTTATTTATGTAGGTGAAATAAATTGACACTACAAAAAATTATCAATTTTGTAACGAGGTTTTTTCGTTCCTAAATTCACTTTTTCCGTTACTAATGATATTAGAGACGGAATTAGAGATGGAATTATGTTAGCTACGTGAACTTTAGGAACGGAATTCCGTTACAAATATACTACTTTTTTTGTAGTGTGAGTATTATTGATAGGGCACAAATCCTTATATATTATACATATTGTAGCATATTTATAATACAATATATATTATGTTATAACATAATATAATATATCATATTTTATAACACATTATATATATTGTTTTACTTTTATAGTATACGTTGATCCCATCAAACCAATACTATACTGGAATCTACACCATTACAAATAATTATATTTTAAAATATTCTAAATATATTGAATTTTTTTTTCTTTTTTTTTTTTTTAATATAATTACAACAAAACAATGCTCATTGCTAACAATAAAACACAACTTTGATATGGGAATGGTCCGATGGCGTGGGGCTTAGACTTGTGACTTATTCAGTACGCACTTTCGAGTAGCAGAAAAAACCACCTTGATATTCATTGTGATTTTTATATTAATAATGTGACTTTTACAATACAGTACATGTGGCGCGTGTAAGAAAATTACAACATTACAACGTAAAATTTAACCTAAGTCGATGGATATACCCAAAGGGTCACCAAAGTATATAATTATTTTTTTAATTTATTATTATATATCTGTGTCTTCAATGAACCCTGCAAAATCAACCATTTCAAAATATGAGCTAGTTAAAAATATTATCAATATATATATATATATATATAAACTAGTTAAAAAATGTGTGAATCATTATCATAGGATATTTTTTCTTGAACATGTTACTGCATTATTTAAACTATTATTATAAGTTCATAGTAATTTTTTTAAATTTATTAAATTTTCCCATGTCTTTTAGTACTGTTTCTACGACCTCAATAGCATATATATGCAATAGTACGTTCGTCATGCAATAATGTGTGTCTGTTTTTGTTTAACACTAGGTGAAAATAATTCAATAATTAATTGCGAACTTAGAACTTGTTTGTTTGGTAATTTTTTAATTTTTCTATTTAAATAATGAATTGGATGTAATATTTTAGTAAAAAAATGTATGTTTTTATATAAAAACAAAATGTTACAGATTTGTTAATTAAAACTTATTTGATTGTGATTTGAAATTGATTTGAATAGCATATTAATTTAAATTTTTGCTTAAATAGTATTTCGATATAATATTTTATAACAATATATAATATATTTTTACTGAAAACTGTGTACGATGAAAAATATTAATTTCAATATGAGAAAAAATTTAAAGTCTGCAACCTTAATTTGTCACTAAAAATTATATATGCATGCAAATAGCTAGTAAGAAAAAAATAATAAATAATTTTCATAGTTATTATTATTATTATTATTATTATTATTATTTTTATTATTATATATTCTGTGACAATATTCTCCAACTAGCTTAATATTTTTTTATTTTTTATTTTTTGATAATGTGAGAATCCAAACCTAGCATTAAGTATCAGGGGTTCGATTCATAATTTTACGATTACGGGTTTACCTCAAACAAACTATACATAAATTAATTTTTTTCTTGCACCTTAATATTAGTTCTTTGGATTTTAGAATTTCTTTATATAAAAATAAGTATACGATGTGATAAAAGTGAATAGTATATATATATATATATATATTGAACGATATAAAACACATAAAAAAAGGCAATAAGTATAGCATATGAAAAGGAGAAGGTTACAAGATCAAGAAACCAATAGATACCATGGAGAAAGAGCATTACATGAAGGGCTAAAGTAAACTCTTTCCCCACTTATTTAAAGCATAGAAACACACACACATATACATACATACATTGATATATATATATATATATATATAATATGTGTGTGAAGAGCTCTAGCAATGCACGAAAAACCCTCGTTCCAACAGCCTTCAATGAACCCTACAAAACCAAGAACAAGAAAATAAATCAACAAGAAAATACCCACATTAATATATACATATATATATACACACACACATGTATGTATGTATGTATCTATGCATTCATGTATATATATAAAAAGAGAAAAAATAACAAAAAATATCTCCTTGTATACCTCATTATCACTTTTGTCGTATATTTATCTATGTAAAAAAATATATCCTACGTGTTTGCAAAAGTCATTATTTCTGTCATTTGACTGCGCGTGATGTTCACACCATGCGTGGCTAAATGATAAAAATATCAACTTTTGCAAGCAGGAGATATATTTTTCCAGCAAGATAAATAAATGACAAAAATAATAATGAGGTATACATATATGTATGTATGCGTGTGTGCGCGGCGGACTTACGTCGAGCAATCTATGTCAGGGCTGATCTTGTAGGGAAGGTTGACGCCGCATTGTCCAGGGAGGTGGGAAGCTTTGTCGAGGTCGATGGTGTTGTACGAGCCGGAGACTTGCTTGAGGCAATTGCATACGCTTTGGCGATCCGGGGTGGATTGGGCCATGTTGTTGAGTTTCCGGACGCCGTCGCAACAATTTCCGAGCGGCGCCATCGGGCTAGTGAGATAGCCGAGGCACGGGTTCAGAGTCTGGACGGCGGCAGTACAACTGACGGCGGCTTGCACGGTGGTGGTGCCCCGGGGGACTACCACCAATGCCGCCACCATTGCGGCCACTAGCATCAATGACTTGATCATTTTTTTCTGATTTTTTTTTTTTTTTTGGCTGACGCGGTAGAGAGAGAAAGTTCGAAAAATAATCGGAATTTTTTTGGGGTTTGGGAAGTGTTGTGGGGAAAATGGTTAGGGTTTGTAGGGTTTTTATAGAGTGGAAAAACCCTAAGAAAGATTGGATTATTTGAATTAATTAATTAGTGTAGTTGGGAAGTTGGTGTGGGACATAAATGGTGTAAGTAAATGTTGCTAAGTGTGTCCAAATTTATTAGGGTAGAGTGTTCATAATGCTACGCCTACTTTGGAAACTCGATTTGGGCGCCTTCTTTTTCTTTTTTCTTTTTTTTTTTTTTATATTTTAAATTTAATTTTTTACTTTTTTTTATTTTATTTTTTAAATTTTTGTGCACTAACTTACATAATTGTCAATATATATCTATATTATTTTTATATTATCGATATGATTTCGCGTGCCTAGTAAAAAATACCTCAAAAAAGACTAAACAAACAGGCCGTAATTAGTTTTAAAAATAAAATAGTTATAGAATGATGTGTTTTTTTTTTTTTAAAAGTAATTATAGTAAAAATAAATAAAATAAAATTGAGAAATATTTTTTTTGCGCTATCTAAAAGTATATATTTTGCCATTGTTATTTGTTTTACCTAAATGTATATATATCTTTAGGGTAAAATTTCGAATTTGTCTGAAAATAGTTTCGCAAGTAAAATATTTTTGCTAAAATGATTCCCCAGTGGCAGATTCACCGCAACTGACATGCCATCGCTACGTCAGTGCTGACCCTAAACCCTGATGTGACATCTACGTAGCTATGATGTGTCAGTCATATCAGCAACGGCGACCAGCGTGGCGAGTCTATCATTGGAGGACCATTTTAGTGAAAAAAATTTTACTTGTAGGACTATTTTAAATAGAACCCATTTTAAATACTAAAATGATAAAATGAGTCAGATAGAAGCTAAAAATCAATTTACCCTATTTTTTATTATAGTAAAATATCTTTAAATTTTACATACATTACAAATATACAATAATTGCACATATAATAATTTAATATGTAAATAAAAAAGTCAAATTTGTTAAAATATTCTTACACGTTTTATTTACTAATAAAGTATTGTTATTTTTTAATTTAATATAACAAAATTATTAAATTTGATTGGCAAAAAGTATTTCAAGAGAATAAACTTGAAGTACGTCGTGTGTTTACTTATGTGTTGAGAGTATTTTGTTATTATGTTTCTTTTATGGTTTTGAAAAAAAAAAAAAAATGTTTAAATTTGATATTAAAGTAACGTATGATGAAATATTTTGTGATAGATATTGTGTCTAAATAGTATTTTCTTCGTCCCAAATACTGTGCAACATATAAATTCGATATTGGAATTTAGGTGAGTAGTATTAAATATAGTAATTTGACATAATTTAGAGATTAGGTGATATAATTGAAGAGAGAAATATATATATATATTTTTTAGTGATGTGATAGGATAAAGTGAATTGTATATTTATATATATAAACATAATTAATTATTTCTAAATTTAGAAATATTGCAATGAGTTTAAGACAAACAAAAAAAAGAAATGTTGCAGGATGTTTGAGACGGATAGAGTAATATTTTATTTGTTAGTGAAAATGTGTAAGAATTTTAGACATTTTTGTCCTTTGATTTTATGTATAAAGTAATTGTATGTGTAATGGTATATTTGTAATTTAAGTGAAAGTTCAGAGTATTTTTGATATTAATGTATAATTATTTTTTCTAAAATAGAAAAATGATACTCCCTCCGTCCACAAGAAAAGTATACAATTACTTTTGGCGTGGTGTTTAAAAAATAATAGTATTTTAATTATAGTGGGTAGTTAAAAGTAGTGTAATGACATTTTTGCCTTTGCTTTTTGGTGTAAAAGTAATGATGTGATGTAAAGCAGGGGTATTTATGGAAAAAAGTAAGGTATTTAATGAAATGTTTACTTTGTAATTGGACGTCCCAAAATAAAAACATGTATACTTTCTAGGTGGATGGAGGGAGTACTATAGAATGGGACATACGAAAAGAATAAAAAAAATAGGACAAAATGAGTATATTTTATGTAATGCTACTATTTTGTAAGAAATGTATTTATTTTATATAATTATTTTGAATAAGTTATTATTATATATAAATAATGTCATTTAAAAAAAAAAAAAATGTACGTAAATAAAATACTCCCTCCATCCCATAAGTAAATATTCATTTTCTTTTTCCACATAGTTTTAGAAATATTAGTATTATATTGGGATATAGTAGAAATAAAGTAGAAATGACTAAAATAACTTTATTAGTATGTGTGATATAAATGTAATAACATTTGTGTAATATATTGTAAGTTGTAAGAATATTTGTAATGTTAGGTAGATAGTACAGTTACTAAAAAAAAGAAATGGATAGTTTGTCATGAGATTGACTAAAATGAAAAAATAGATATTTTCTTATGGGACGGAGAAAGTATAAATTTATTTGTTTGTTTGTGCGTTTTTAAATCTGATTAATTTTATTTTTATATTTATTTGTTATACAACATTATAAAAAGTATATATTGTTATGGCAATGTACCATTTAAAGTGAATGATGTATCAACTAAAAGAGTGAAAATAGTATATATTCACTCTCATGGTTAGATTATTTATCTGAAAATAGATTTTGTAAATGTTATATATATAAAATAAATTTTCATATAAATGAATAAAATAGTGGTTTTTTTTTTTTTTTTTCATCTTTTCTAGTAAAAAAATAAGAAATATGATATAATATTTTACTAAAAAATTAAGAAATATTTTTAATAACAATTCAAAAAATTTAGCATATATTTGAAGGACATAAAGAGTATAAAACAAGGACACCGATTCTATGCTAATTTGATCAAATCAATATCATGCTGATTTGGTCCGATAAGCAGAAGTTACAAAGATATACTCTCTCCATCCACAAACTAATTTCCTATTTGTCTATTTGGGACGTCTAATAACTATTGTTCTATTTCTTTTTTTTTTAAACACAAATTTTACATTTTTACTTTTCATTCATTTATTACTTTTAATCTCTACCATACAATTATAGGCAAATTTGTCAATTTATAACAAAAATATAATCACCTAAAAAACCGTACAGATATACTCTAGCACAATAGAAATTGAACGGAGCGACTAAAATTTTTTAATTTGAGAGGGAAAGAATATTATTGGGTATATTTTAACTTTTTTTCAAAATGTAAAATTTTTCTACATCATTAAATAAATAAATGGCGAGCAGGTGGTGGTTGTTGACCAGTCTTATCTGCTCAGGAAATCATACTTACGGACTGTAAATATTGTAAATAAAAATAAAAATAAAAAGGGCTCGAATATTGGCGCCACGTGTCCCCTGAGTAATTAATTCGATATATAGCTCGGCCGGCGGTCGGCAGAACATGTCATTACACACCGGCCGGGCCGCCTAATAACTCCGGCCCGCAACATATGATGCCTAAATTAACTCCACGTGTCATGATGTCAAATCCATTTTTTCTTTCTTCATTTCAAACTTCATTTTTTTTTAAAATTTTCTCAAATTTTACTGTTGAAATCTACTTAAAAAAATATATATATTTTAATCTCTCACAAAATTTTATATCAAATTCAAATTAAATTTTTTTCAAATTCATCGATTAAAAAAAAAAAAAAACACACCCAAAAAACTAAAAAAAAAAAAATTACATTCCATAATCTTCCATTCTTGCATCTCATTTTTTAAATAAATACTCCCTCCGTCTCAGATACCATATCCATGTTGCCGTTTCTGTTTGTCCCACTGTCACTTTTCTTTTTTGAAAAATAATTACACACTTTAATGTCATTTTAAATTTTAATTTTTTTTAATTTTAATTAAACTAATTAGTTATTTTAATCTTAATTTATAATTATTTATATTATAGAATAATTATTTTTACTAATACATTCTTAATTATCTATTAATTACACCCCTCCTAAAATACCGTATCTAGAGTATAACAGATACGGTATCTGGGACGGAGGGAGTATTAAATAAACTGGTGTGTTTTTTATATTCAATTATACTCCCTTTATTTGCACAATCAATGTGCATTTTCATTATTTCAAATAGTTCACATCAATATATAATTTTTTTAAAATTAATAAATATGTTGCTTACAGACAAAGTATATGTATGATTATATTTTACTTAAAATTATTAATAATTATATGCTCAATAAAATTCTGGTTCATATATTCTTAGACAGGGACAGAATTACATTAGGGTTTTGGAGAATAATTTATCCTCCAAATTCAATTTTTTATGATTTTTTTAGTGTTAAAAATATTAATTTTTATGTATTTATATACAATTTATCCCTCAAAATTATTTAAATTCATATATAATTTTGTCATTATTTTTTTATTTAAATTTATTAGTTAAATATTAAATAAATTATAATATTTTGCCCCTCGGAATTTAGATGTTAATTTCGTCGCTAATACTCCCTCCGTCCCGGTGCAAGGTTGCCGTTTACTTTTTGCATGTAGATTTTTTAATATTAATATTATAATGAGTTGTATTGAAAAAGTCGAAAATACCCCTATTAGTATTGCGTAATATAAAAGTAATGACATTTGTGTAATATAGTGTAAGTTAGAAGAGTATTTATTATATTAGATAGGTAGTACAACTACTAAATTAGGAAATGATAACCTTGTTTTGGGACAGAGAAAATAGAAAATGGTAACCTTTCAATGGGACGGAGGGAGTATTATTTTAAAATACATAACAATACTAAGTAAATGTAGACAAAATAAATAGAGGAAATATACAAACTGTAAAATTATGTACGATGTGAACAACACTATTTTAGAAAAAGTAATCATACACTAATACTAAAATATTCTTAAATTTTACTTAAATTACAAATATACCATTACATATACATTTACTTTATGACAAAAATGTCAAAACTTCTTACACACCTACTAAGTAATAAAATATTATTATTTTTAATTTACTATATAAAATTTTAAAACACCTACTTCTGTCCTATAACAAATTATCTATTTTTTTAT